TAGCAGTCATGACTAGGAGAAAGTCGCGCAAGCGAAAGCAAATTCAGCATGGCGGCACACTTGAGTATGGCCCAGCAGCATCACGGGTAGCTGCTGAGGTGTCTGTAGCAGCTCAGCCATCAAAGAAGACTCGTGGTGCAGGTACTCAAGAAAGGACCCAGTTAGCCTAACGGCGCTGTGGAAACTGTGGAGGCACAGGGCACAACGCTCGAACGTGTCAGAAAGATACAGAAGAAGATTCTGAATCTGATGAAAGCACGCAGTATGCTGGATCACTGTTTAATAGCGAGTAATTCAAGTTGCCGCAACATAAGTTGGGCGCGCCAAGAGATTTTGACCGGTTTGGTGATATGACCGGCTCGGTGATAGAGTACGTTAGTACTAGCAGAACTAAGGGTAGCTATGCAACAACGTTGCAACGTTGTTTTAAGTTTATTAAATATAGGCACTTAGTATTTTGGCTGTTAGCAACGTTGGCGCGAAATTAGGGCTGTTAGGCGCAAATTGGGGCTGTTGGGGCCGTTGAACGGCCGTTGCACGACCATGCCACAACTGTCAGCAATGGCCAGTCTGGGCCGGATTTCGAAAAACTTTTCCCAATGTAGTAGAAATTAACTAAGTTGTGGCTCTTATAGCTGTCTAGAATAAGCAGTAAATAGCTGCTAATAGTGCGCTCCTTTGTGTGCTTATTAAAGTGCTTTAATCACTTATGCTAAGCTTATTGTTGGTCTAGCTGTTCTTAAAGATAGTAATAACCTAATTATAAGGTAAAGACAGCTCCTTGTACTAGAGAGAGAGGTAGTGCTTGCCTTAGAAGATAACAAAGGGTGGGATACTCTATCCTAACGCGCTAATGCCCTAGATAATGCTAGTCCACTCTTAGTTGCCCGGCTGCATGCAACGACGCAGGCAAGAAGAGAGATATCCAGAATAGGTGTGAATCCGCTACGAGGCATATGGGAGTGCTGGGATGATAAGAACACTAGGATATATTCTCTATACCCATAGGTCTTGTATAAAAGGATACAGAAAAACTACTCTACAATGCTACAGTTCCTGGCTCCTTATATAGGGAGGTTTAGAGGCAGTTTAGTGCGACCTTATGCTATGCAACAAGGGCCATAGTCATGAGTTGCTGGACCGTACCCTAGTGGTATCGGGTCATTGTTGGCAGCGCGTTGTTATACAAGTCACCACTTGGACGAGCTATGAAGGCGGCTCTCAAGGCAAATACAGGCACAGCAGCTTTGACAGCTGCAAGCACACCACGTTAATTTAACAACTAGAGCCCAACAATCAAAGACCTTAATAGCCATGTGTCGCAGCTTACTATAAGAATAGACTGTACAAACAAGCAGATAATTAAGCTAAGCCTAACTAATTCTTAGATTCTTAACCCTACATTTAACACGCATGTCACTAATACTGGAGCCTACAGCTAGAAGACGTAAGCTAATAGGAAAGGTAAGGTTGTTAAAGCTGGCGACTAAGAGCTTTAGATACAAGCGTAGGGAGATATAGTTCTGCTTATTAACACACCCACAGGCACAGATCAGATAGAGCTCACCTACTTGGCTTATGTGCCAGGCCTTCTCACTAACGTTATTGGCCTATCTTGCTGCTAATTAGTTAGTATGCACTTTAATTTAGGACAAGACTGCCTTTATTAACACAGATAGAACAACATTATAAGCAAGCTTTAGTACATGGGCGGTTGTTAGCTGATAGACGCTGATGGTATGGAGCGACTAGACGCAAACTCCTTGCTTGCAGCCTCAGCTCATGCTTACAAGAAGCCATTGTACGAACCAATGAAGCTGCTGCAGCTTGCGCTAGGGGAGGCTCGCATCATGTAGGGTCAGGCAGGGCGCTAGGCAGTTGATTATCTATTAGAGAGCGTAGAAGGACTGCAACTAGTAGATAGCAATCTAGCACCTAAGTAGAAAGACTGTGAGATCTGTATAGTTGGAGTTAACAAAGATAGTTAGCTGGAGGCCACTGCGCAAGCAAGCTACATTTTATGGATTGCTAGCACTCACTATAAGAGCACATAAACGCACCCAGATTCAGCTTGAAATGATGCTAAGTAGTACTTAACAAGATCCTGTTGAGAGATTTGTACATTGTTATGGCACCTCAGGTGACCGCACCGGTATTCAATGTCATAGCCAGCGTAGTGCTTGCATGTCGCAACAATACGCTTGTAGGGATCTGTCGCATCAATTTTCAGACCTGTAACCAAGGCTTTGACATATAACGAGAGATGGTCAGTATCTTCACCGGATGTTTCTTGACCATGGCCCCATCTGGAGTCTCGGAACGGGTTAATGTTCTGGTCGGAGTCAGCAAACGTCAAAATAAGGGGTAGATAATCTTACAGGCGTCCAGGAATCAGGACCAGTGCGATTGGTATTGTTGAAGGTTCTGGCCTCTGTAGAGATGACTTTAGCAACCTCTGTGATAAAAGCATTATCAAGGGCAGCGTCCATCAGAACAGGCTATGGGAGGAGTTTAAGCAGATGTATTCGTCTAAACTGCTGATCCTGACCTTCCAAAGCTGCTCATCGAGTCTGGCATTCGTCTTTTAAGTCATGCTCGACAGCCGTAGGCTGGTTCTGTACCACGAGAGCGGGCCCTCAACATAGTCAGCACGAGAGCATCGTGATAAATTTACGTCAAGGTGTGTTATTGACGTGGCTGAGATAGATAGCGAGGCTATTCACACCACTCCTCGAGTCAGCATGCGATTTTTCGTCCAGATCTTTCTTGCCAGCCACACCTGTTGAATCGCTTGTCTTGGGAGAGCTTTCTTGAAGTTGAGCCGCATGGCGGGCATGGTGGGGCTCCATGATACAATGGACACGAGTGGTGCTGTATTCCGGCTCAATCGAAGACCGACAAATGGAAGTGACGACGGAGTAGTGTCGGAGAACGGTAGTTTTTCAAGGCCTGCGACAAGACGATGTACCGTAGCCAAACTCACCAAGCATGTCAATAGTCATCTCAAACACAAACAAATTTGCGTCATTCTCAGGCTGGGAGAAGGGAGCGCAGCTGATCAGAGTCTTGGAAATCTGTGAACGAAACAGCACGTGATCATGCAGCTGCGGCTATGCACCTTGCGGTAATAGCAAACGTCTGCTTGGCGTACTTTTTATATCGATCTGGACAGCTGTATTTGGCTCCCTATTTGTGCATACTGATAATCGCGAAACTCCATCGACCCCCTGTTATTGTCGTCGTTGTTGCGGCGTTTGACCTCACCGTGGAAAAAGGCGTGACGAGCGCGACGACATCGACTCACTACAGTCCTGCGCTGCTGCGAGCTTCTCAATCTCTACTTCCATCTGGAACACGCGACATTTATTAACATCTACCGGCAATGCTCAGCTAACTGCAGCTCGTCGTTTGGTGAGGCGGGAGAAAGCTCTGCCGATGGTGGTCGCATGGTCGTACAACGACCCCATGTAAAAAGCTTATCTTCAGTCTGACGGTCCAGCGGCATGCATGATGGTAGATGCACGACTGCGACAGCAGATGCGACAACAGAAGGACAACATAACAAACGTGCGAGAAGTACCTGCATTCGCCATAATGAAAAGCGATATAAAGAATACATAGCTACTAGATATTTGTAGCACGGAGCAGAGCGCAGGCTGTAGCAGCAGCAGTCCGATGATCCCTCCGATGATCCCTCCGACGGAGTGGTGACGCACCCCAGATGTTGTTCCGTCAAGCTCGCAACGGCCCCACTTTGCACAAAAGCGTTCGAGACTCGAAACGATGCGCTCGCAAAACGTCTGCCGCGAAGGGGTCGGCTGGCCGGCTACGAGCATTTTCGCACAACACGCTCTTCTACAGCTATATCGACGCGCTCTACTCTAAAGAGTCTCGAATATCGCAGCTATCTTCGTCATACGAATGTGTCGGGGCGAAGCTTGGTCATCGTAAAGAGAAAGCGATTCAGGCGGGCGCAAGCGATTTATATCCGAGTGGGCCCTTCCGGCGCAGGCACTGTCGATTTCTTAACCAACGTCAACAGTCATACGTCGACTGCTGAACATATCTGTGTCGCCACTGTCCGCAATTGAGAATGACGAGCGCTTCTGTAGACATGAGGACCTCTATCAGTAGCAGCGACAGCTCGCTACGAGAAGAATCTGGTATCAGCGAATCGAATGCCAGCGAAAAGAGAAGGCACAAGTTCATGGGCGTTGACGAAGAGAAAGTAATAGGTCTCGATAGAGCCGAGCATCCGACTAAAGAGGAGGAAACTGTGCCATGTGGCAGATCGAGAAGTCGCGGGAGAAGGTCGCAGGACAGCAAAAGTTTGAAGAAGATCGAGTCTCATCATTCGAGGGCAGGCACCGACGGCTACACCTGGCACCACGACGTAGTTGAGAGCAGCCACCAACCGAACAAAGCCAAGGCTGGTGTCATGACTCCAGAGCCGTACTTGGTATCATTCGATGGCGATGCAGATCCTGAGAACCCGCGGAGCATGTCGAGTCTACGACGATGGGCTATCGTATTGATCTGTGCTGGGAGCTCTCTCTGTGTGTAAGTTTGATTACGAAGGCACAAGCCACGCGACTACAAGACTGACATTGTTGAACACCAGCACCTGCACGTCCTCGCTATACACGTCGACCTATGGCCAGCTCGAGCCCGAGTTCGGATCTTCTCGGCTCGTCTGCACGCTTGGCCTCTCGCTGTTCGTCGCTGGTCTGGGTGCAGGTCCAATGATCCTAGGACCTCTTTCTGAGGTGCGTCAGAAGATGCAGGTCTATGCACGACCGCACATCAGCATTTACTCACGAGACGCAGTTCTACGGCCGTCGACCGATCTACATTGGCTCATTCACATTCTTCCTCATCTGGCTCATCCCATGCGCTGTCGCTCGTAATATACAGACCATGTTGATTGCAAGGTTCTTTGACGGCCTCGCGGGTTCAGCTTTTCTAAGCGTGGCGGGTGGCACCGTAGGAGATATGTTTGCTAAACATGTAAGGCGGCGCAGTGCTGAGACAGGAATAGGCTAATGCAGACCAAGGAGCTATCCGCACCGATGATGGTGTATACAGCATCACCATTTATTGGCCCTGAAATCGGGCCACTTGTCGGTGGCTTTATTGTTGAGAATACCTCGTGGCGTTGGTAAGTGTGGCAGACCCACTATGCAGTGTTGCAACACATCGTCATTTTTGAATCGCCCACCCCCTCCCATTACTTTTATGTCGTTCACTTGTTTGGCTGGGACATCCATCGCTATGCTCTCATGACATGAAGCGGAGTACTGATGTCAGACAGGTGCTTCTATGTACTCGTCATCTGGTCCGGACTCCAGGTAAGGCAGTGCCACACACCACACGAGCGAGATGTTGACACTAAAGTCCAGCTTTTCCTAATTGTGTTCTTCGTGCCTGAAACGTACCACCCTGTTCTGCTTCGTCGCAAAGCGATTCGGCTGCGAAAGGAGACTGGCAATCAAGAATGGATCGCGCCCATCGAGAAACTTGACCGATCAGTCGCCAGGACGGTGTTGTGGTCATGCATCCGCCCGTTTCAACTTCTCTTCTTCGAACCAATGGTGAGAGAGCGGATACCACTTGCATTTTGACTGGCGGACTTACTCTCGTGTTCAGTGCCTCAGCCTCTGCATTCTTTCTGCAATTTTACTTGGGATATTGTACCTTTGTGAGTATCCCTAGTCCCATCGGTGGCTCTGCGGCTGATCACCCCGCAGTCTTTGGTGCATTTCCACTGGTCTTCCGCACCAATCACGGTTTCAGTGTTTCCCAAGTCGGTCTTGCGTTCTTGGGCTTGTTTGTGGGCATGCTCACAGGTATATGTACCGACCCAATCTGGCGACGCGTCTACGGTAGGCTCGTGCGGCAACGTGAAGCACAAGGGGGTGAGCCTGGTGGCTCAGAACCAGAGTTTCGGCTCCCATCAACGATACTTGGCGCCTGGGTCGTTCCAATTGCACTTTTTGGTATGATTGCAGGCATCGAACGTCCAACTGCTGCTAATCACGTTTTATGCAGGGTTCGGATGGACCACGTATTCTTCGTAAGTGGATTATTCCAGAAAACGTGTTGGGCCATCGCTAATTTACTTGATTGCAGGGTACATTGGATAGGTACGCTAGACTGTGCATACCATCATGTTATAATAATAGCTAACGATGACACGACAGTTCCAATCATTTTCTCTGGACTTTTTGGAGCTGGGTAGGCTAAGACTTTTGCAAGTGTCATCGATGGCCGAGTACTGACCACATGTTTGCAGTATCATCTGGGTATACTCAGGAGTCTTCACCTTCCTCGTGGAAGCTGTAAGTGTCACCAAAGCCAGACCCATAGCCTGATACAGTGGTTGACCTCGCCGACCAGTACCCCCTCTACGCTGCAAGTGCCCTAGCCGCGAACTCATTCGCAAGGTCGTACTTTGCAGCAGCATTCCCTCTCTTCGGTGTTCAGATGTACAACAGTAAGTCTAAAGCGTGAGGCCTGACGAAAGAGCGGTCACTGATTTGGAAAAGATCTTGGATACCAATGGGCGACATCCTTGCTCGCGTTCCTTGCCCTTGCTATGGCCCCGTAAGACAGACCCAAAGCAGTGGATCTGGTAGTCGCTAACGCACAGCAACACAGATTTCCCATACTGTTCTTTCGATTCGGCAAGCGGCTCAGGGGCAATAGTAGGTTTGCATCAGCATAGACGGGCCGGCGTGTCGACGCGAGGTGTGGCGGAATGCAATAGAAGCGCCTAAGAATAGAGGAAGTGACACGGCACACATGCCGTCATTATTGAATGCTGCGTCCCCACGTGAGACGACATGAGGCAGGCCGGCTGGGCTTCTGTATAACCTGACTTGGGCGCCACGAGGGCGGCCACGCCTGATCGGAGGACGAATGACGCACGTAACAACAGTGGTTGCGAATAGAGCCGTTAGCGAGATAGGGCACAAACGTGGCCAGCAAGCCAACGTCATGGAGAGCGAGACATTTCAGGGCACACAGACACTCGCGAGGTGTAGGCGAGCGGTGACATGGTGGGTTGACTGGTGACAGGAGGTCGTACAGGACCCACGCAGGCTTACCATCAGCCACTGATGGGCGCCTGAGTGAATGCCTGCCAAGGCCGCGATCGCACATGGCCTTTGCAGCCGAGCCTCGAGGACATGCACTCAAGCGCAACGGCGGCTGCTTGCATCTCTCCTGCGTGGTGCAGATATGGTGGGCACAAGGAAGATTGCGCTATGCGAAGTTTCTCGTGAGATGGTTTACGAGCAGCCTGAGGCTCGGTGGCTAGTAGTAGCTTCTGGATAGCCGGCTGCGAGAAGCGGCTCCGGGCACGAGGTTTCCGCTCCACTCGGCTCTGTCAGCAAAACGTCTTGCTAACTAGCGTGCCGTGACATTGTTATCATTGGCTGGCGAGTCGCTAGTAAAGAGAGACCGAGGCAGCTGCGATGGGTTGCATCTTGCAGCAAAGCTGGTCAGCCAATTGCGGGGAATCGCATCAAAGCGCAACATCTTCGCCAGTCAACACACGCACGCACACACGACCACGCCCAGCGCGCGCAACTACCACTGGTACTGCTAGACCCTGGAATACTGCAACATTGGAGCATTGGACCGCCCGCGCTGCTGCGCTTTTTGCCCTATCCAGCTGCTGCTGCCCTGCGTTGCTGCCCGCGATCGCTCCCACCGGCACAGCCTCAAGGCCTCAAGCGCCGTCCCACAGCGTCGAGTGCTCCTTCCAGCGCTGCGCTACACACCTGCCTTGCTCAACCAATTCGCCCCACCTCAATACTCCAGCGCGCCTGCCTCACAGCCTCACGGCTCTCTCGCCGCGGACGCGGGCCCTGCACCAGTCCCACACCTCAGCTTCCAGCAGCATGGGCAGCGCGTCTCGGTAGCATTGTGCTATCCAACATGATCCTGCGGCCCTGTACCACTACCGTATTGCTCCCTACCTGTGCGCCGGACTGAGCGTGCTCTTAGACTACCCTGACGCCGCGCTCTGGGATCTTCATTGCTTCCTTTCGGCCCCCGTGACGCACGCCCATTGAGCACGCCTCTGTGCCACAGCAGCGCCTATTCGAGTGGCCAGCACACGCGTGACTTCACCAGAAACACGCCGCTGGAACGCCGCTATCCGTGCCTCCGCTGAGACATTGGCTGAACCGTTGTGCCGGGTACACTCCCGAGCGCACCACTGACGGCTGCACGCAGCACTAGACGTGCGCCTGGAGTGAGCAGTAGAACACAGCAGCGACCGTGCGAGACTTCAGTCGCGCCCACGTTCGCTGATATCATGTCGTCCCCAGACCAGGACGATGCCTCTCCCTCGCCGGATTTCAGCGGTGACTACGACGACGACATGGCTGCCGAACAGAACCAGAAAGATCAGAAGAGCGATGAGGAAAAGAAGGATGTTTGTGGCCAGACAAAGAGTAACGCGAAAGATCCGCTGAGACCAAGGAGGAAGAAGGCAAGGAGAGCATGCTTTGCGTGTCAGCGCGCCCATCTGACTTGTGGTAAGTATCAGGACGGACCTTGAGTCGATCTATACTGATTTCGCAGGCGACGAGCGTCCATGTCTGCGATGTGTGAAGCGCAACCTCGCAGATCACTGCATGGATGGTGTGCGCAAGAAGGCCAAGTATCTCCACGATGCGCCTGACGGCGCCTTGATGCCCGGCGTGGGCGGCCATTATCCCTACATGAGCGGCAACCGGCCAACGCCTCTTCCAAGCCAGGACACCCAAGCCGTGTCCATGGCCCACCAAGGCAACCACTACGCTCAAGCTCCACAACAAGCATTCTACCCAACCACTTCAGCCCCTGCACCGACCTACAACAACCAGCAGTCTCCTATATCTCCACCGTATCAGCACTCGCACCAAAGCTCTGTACCAAATGTCGCCACAACAATAGCACAGGCCCAGCCAGCGCAGATGCAGCAGTTCGGCGGGCCATTGTTCGACCCGAGTGACCCAGCTCTGTTCAACTTTGATATCTCCAGCCTCAACTTCGGCAATCACTATGGCGCTTTGGAATTTGGGATGCTCGGTCACATGTCGTCAGGAGCTGCCGAGACTCCACCCAACGACAATAGCATGATGAATTCGCAACAACCTGTCAATATGTACAACCCGCAGGTACAAGGCGGCTATGTAGATCACTCACAACCAGCTTCGATGATGTCCATGAACCAGAACGGACTGTCAACAGAGGACTGGCAGCAGCCAAACTCCCGGAACGGCAGCTTGCAAGTCCAAACACCACACGGCACGCCCACTACTGCGTCGATGGAACACAACAGCCATCGACAGGAGAGCTTGAACGGCCCGCATGCGTTCGCGATAGGACAGGGACCAGCTAGTCATCATACAGCCAGCCCTGCTTCAACGGATGCGAACTCGACATACGAGACAGACAATCCTTTAGCACAGGCTGCATTCTTCGCGAATCCACATCAACCGCAGCAGCAACGATCGCCCACAGTCAGCCGGCGGCAACAAGATACCCGTCCGTTGAATAGCGCTCTTCAACCCATTCACTCCAACGGCGTGCGCAAGCGGTATCGCGATACCAAGAGCATATACCAAGGCATCACAAAGCCGCACGATTACGTCAAGGGCTACCACAAGCTCTTCCAGCTCATCTTGACCAAGTATTCGCGCCCCTGGGCCGCCAAGGCGCAAGAATACGTGCAGAATTTCCGCGGCGTGCTGGTCGACGTGCACAGCAAACTCGAAAAAGAAGACCTTATCCATCAGGAAAAGGGCTTGCAACGTCATCTCCTCACGCTGCAAGAGCACTTCGCCGAAGTGGGTACACCGTTCATCATCTGCCGCCGCTCCGGCGAAATCGTCGGCATGAACAAAGAATTCACCATCCTGACAGGCTGGAAAAGAGAAGTCTTGCTGGGTCAAGAGCCCAATTTGACAGTCAACCAGCATGGCAACCGCGACCCAAACGAATCCGAAATCAGCACCCAGAATACGACGCCCACGATCGCGGCGCAGCAGGCAGACGGTGTTGACGAGCCGCAGCCCGTCAACATCATCCAGCTCATGGATCCCAAATCAGCGTTGCAGTACCTCCAGCGCTTCTCGGAACTCGCGTACCAAGACCCGCGCGGGTTTGCGCACCAGCGCGTCAATATGCTGCGGTATCAGACGAAGGCCGACGTCGAGCGGTTGGCCGAGCGCGAGGGCCGCGGGAAGCATGAGGAGAGGGAGATCAAGACGGAGGGTGGGGGCGCGGGTGTGCATCAGGGCGAGAGCGCGATGCAGCGCCTTGGGGCGAAGAATGGGATGGTGGATTGTATGATCTGGTGGCATATTAAGAGGGACATCTTTGATATGCCGGTGTTGGTATGCATGAGTGTGAGTTTGCAGCGTTCATCGGGAGTTGCACATGATGTACTGACGAGAAGCAGGTTATGCCGGTTCTTGATAAGGGGCTGCATTGAGGATACCTATGCTCGAACGTGTGGCGAGAGTATTTGGGCTCTGATCGCGCGAAGAACCTACTTCATCCGGACCCACGCAGGTCTGGTTTCGTTTACTTCATGGCACGCTGTGCAGTATGCACCTCCGGGTATTGGCTTCAAAGGAGGATTGGACCACGTCAGGCGTTCGGTGCGACTTCACGGCATACCTGGGATACCAACGGGCTCTCGCATTCTTCTAATACACTTCTCCTTCATCAATGAACGCGTTTGCATTGTATCGTCTACAGTGTGATATTCATGTGTATCGCCGTTGCTAGCCTCGTGAGATCGTAGGTCGCTGACCCCTAGCTCGGCATAGCACTAACAGCCACCTCATCTCTCTGTCCCTGATCTCCCGACGCCAACTTCGCATTCCTCCCCCCATCCTCAACCCCCTCGCCATCCGTCGTCACCTGCCCTTCCCCCGCGCCCCCCTCGCCCTTCAGCCACGGATCACTCATACACGCCCGATATGCCTCGCGCGCCAGACTGCGCTGCGAAATGCGGATGTCCTCGCGTATATCCTCTACCAGCGCGTCCTTGCTCACGTAGTCGTACTCAGGCCGTATGAAGCCCAATATGAGCAGCGACAGCTCGGCGCCATAGAAATCGTGCGAGAAGTTGGCGAGAATGTGGATCTCGATACTGCGCGTGGTGTTCTTGTAGTACGGGTTGTAGCCGATGCTCAGCACGGTGGGGTACACGGGTGAGCGCCCGCTGGAGGGGGTGGTGGCGGTGTATTCGAGGTCTTGGACGGCGTGGGATGAGGACTTGGTCTCGTGCGTGGGGAAGGCGGTGCGGGAGGGGATCTTGGCGTGGTCCAGCGTGCAGAAGCCGTAGTAGATGCCCGAGTCGAGGTCAGAGTGCCCGTTTATGCTGAGCCCCGAGAGCGGGATGTTGGCTGTCGGAATCCCGAGCTGCAGCGCGGTTAGGAGGAGGTTGAGAGGATTGATGCTGGGGAACGTGCCTCCTTGCTGCCGCGCCCGAAGCCCTTGATCACGGGCCCGCGCAGCTTGAGCGGGAAGGGTGGCTGCGGGGTGTCGGCGCCGGCGATGGGGTCGCGGGGGCCTGTGGGGCGGACCATTGTGCGTTGATCCGGTGTTGCTATTGATCACGAGTATGTCAAAGGAGGAAGAGAGTATCTGAGAGGTGTCGTGTGGTGGAATCGCAGTCTGAGTCGTTGGTCAGCGTTCCAGCACTTTCTCCATCACGGCATCGCGGGACTGGTGGGGCTGACTGGACCCTGGGTTCGGAGGTCCGAGATTACGTCAGGACGTGCCTTCCTTGAGCCTCACCACGTACCACGTGCTTTTGTTTACCATCATCACCAAGCTTTTTTTTTCATCGCGGTTCATGTCTAACACGCGTCAATTGAGCTCATTGAAGTGTATTGATATTTTATGTCCTTCGAAATTCACCGCGTCGGGCTCGTTTGCCCGCGGCATGACTACTTCACCTCTCAGCTCTCGTTCACGTCTGGCGGATGGCAAGCCATCATTTACTTATGGCACAGCCTGGAAGAAAGAGCAGACAAAGACTTTGGTAAAAGAGGCACTCAAGCAAGGCTTTCGACGCGTCGACACGGCTGCACAGCCCAAGCACTACCAAGAGCATTTGGTGGGCGAAGCGCTGCGCGAGGCGTACAATGAAGGATTCGTGTCTCGAGCAGACGTCTACGTGCAGACGAAGTATACCACGCCGGCCGGACAGGATCTGAGCAACATGCCGTATGATCCCAATGCGCCACTGGAGACTCAGATACACACCTCTGTCGCGTCATCACTTAAGAATCTGCGAGCATTGCAGGACCCTGAAGAGGCGACGTTCCTCGACTGTCTACTTTTGCACTCGCCATTGCCAACTCTGGATCAGACACTCAGGGCCTGGAGGCTGCTCGAGACTTACGTCCCGCACCAGATCAAAGCCCTCGGTATATCAAACGTCACGCTACCCATCGTCCGCGAAATCTACAACTCATGCACCATCAAGCCTTCCGTCATCCAGAACCGTTTTTACGCCCAAACCCGGTATGATGTGCCGCTTCGAGCATTCTGTCGAGAGCACGGGATCGTATACCAATCGTTCTGGACATTGACCGGTAACCCTAAGCTTCTCAAGTCGAAGCCGGTCATTGCATTGGCTCAAGCAGCAGAGGTGTCGGTGGCGACGACGCTGTATGCTCTGGTCATGGATATGGGCGTTGAGGTGCTGAATGGGACGACGTCCTTGGAGCATATGCGAGACGACCTTGAGGGCGTTCAGACAGTGCGCAACTGGGCGAGTGCAAACCCACGACCATGGACTGAAATCTGTAACGAATTCCGTGCACTTACAGAGCCCGATTCTTACTAGGTACTGCGAGTCTCTCCGGCACCTCACCGGTGAGATCATCAGCCTTACTTGCTGGAAGGCAGCACACGATCATGCATATCCTGCACTCAAATAAGATACTAAGGTTTCCCTTCCTGCCTTGTCTGTTGAGCATGATTGGCTGGTTTACATTGCCAGCCCTGCTTGTCACACCAAATGCGGAGCTGAGCCACCACAAAAGGATCATGCTACAAGTGCATGAAATCTTGTCTCGAATACAGCCTGACGATTTATTTACAGTGATTGTCTTCTGTTTTCCCTGCATACAACAGATGGTATATCCTCTCGATGATGTTACTGTCTGTATCCCTCTCCCAATCTTGCAGTTTGGACTACCCTGCGATGACACAGCGCACGGTTTACATCTGGGCTCTCAGACATGCTTTCGGATATCTCTTTGGCCATTTCGATTGACCGGTAATGGATGTCTATCTTAATCTCGTGCAACTCGAAACTGTATCAGTGGGACTGGACAGCGTTTTGATTACTTTGGAACACGTCTTCACTATGTTCGACCGGTCCAGCTTGTTACGGCAGTCAGAGATGCGACGAACCGTCTACTAGCTTATGGCAGAAGCAAATGAGCCGGGGACATTGTTGTTCGACTCTTGAACTTGTCAATGGGGAGGCACGGAATGCTAGGGACCGAGTTGCTTTACGCATTCCTCGGCCACGAGTTTTGTTGTCGGATAGACCCTAAACTGTTGGAGGATCTGCAGATGTCCACAGCCATATGCGCTCTACGGCGTGGCAATCAGTCATCCTTCCACTGTGTCTACCGAGAGTGTGAAGGGAGTACGACGTACATGTCTCCTCCACCAGCGCACACTGGCAGACACATGTAAGCTCGAAGATCGGCAAGGGATGCTTGACTCGCCAGGCGACGGGCACAGCATGGACCTCCAACATCGGATGGGATATTGTGCTCATGCTTGAGCGCTACTATTTTGCGGGTAAATTCCCCCTTGTGGATAAGTGAGCTTATACTCACACTCATGCTCAGCTTTGTGCTCGAGACTTTGCGCGGCGCTTCTTGACGGCCTTACTGTGCGAGCTGAGAGACATAGTCTACGAGTACGCAATCATCACATCCGCCAAGCATGTCACCTGCGCTACCGTGCCTGAATTCTACCGCGTAAGATGGACTGAATGACGCGACGGGTACAGTCCTTTCTGTTCATGCGATTGCCGCGTTCCAGAGACACCCCATACTTCCTCAATAAGCTCTGGTTCGGCAACGATGTCACATACGAAGCTGCCATTGCGTTCTACCAGCTTGTTATCATATCCGTATCCCACCAAGAAGATCTCAACTTCTGTTTGAAGACAGACGTCTTCCACACAGGTGTCGTTCCACGGCAACACGTCAAGTCTCTAGACATAACGCTTACCTCAGAAGCATGTCACGAGAGCGAGTTCGACTATAGGTTTGGCCCTGAGAACGAACAACAAATCCGTCACTTGATCAATACCGTACGTTGGCTGGACTCTCTACTTGGATTGCCTAACCCAGCGAACTTGCGCATCCAGGTATTCGTCAAGGTCGCTTCCAAGAGGACTGCGGCGCAGCTGGAGGAACAACCTACGCCCCTGGTGATGAAGATGTGGGGCAGAGGCAACGAGATACTCGTTATGCACGATCTCGACCCGGAGTAGGTTCCGTATGCTGAATACACGTTCGAGTTTTCCCGTGTCACAGCTCCTACGCCGAGTTGATGAAGTTGCTACTTGACAGTACAAGTTATCAGCCACGTCACAGAGGGAACACGCAGTGGGTCACGGACATAGAATGTTAACACATGGCATGGCGAAGGCGAATACTATGTACAGATGACCTAGGGACTGAATGGACAAACAAAATATGGCTCACGTCAACATTGAGCTATTAATCTTCATACGCGAGGTACGAGCTTCATATCCAGACCCTCTTGCTTGACAAACCACCTGACAGTTGTTAGCTTCCCGTTCAGGCTGAAGGTGTATACAAAAGTCGAAATACGTACCAACAATGCTGCTCGGGCTCTTCATTCGGATGCGCTAGTGCTATATCAAAGCGCATAAGGAGGGAAGGAATGAGTTTCGTCATCTCGATCCAACTCAGATCTAGGCCTTGTCAGCGTTGATTTACGCAAAATTTTAGAACGTCTTACTTCTTCCAATACATGTGCGCGAGCCACTGCCAAAAGTGAAGAAGTTACGATCTTATCGCTGTATTAGCATTGGACTACGATAATGGCATGAACGTACCCATCTGGTTCCGTTCTCCTTCTAACCACCGTTCCGGACGGAAAGTCTCGCAGTCTTTACCGAAGATCTCATTTTGCCGGTGTATGACCCAAGGGTTGGCGCCGACTATGGTCTATGAGATTATTAATGCGTGATTCATTCAGATGGGTTGGGCAGACTGACCCCGGCAGGGATAAAGATCCCGTCGATCTCGAAACCCTCCTGCGGTACAACTCTAGGCAACGACATGCCTACTGCAGGATGCAGCCTCAATGCCTCGTATATGCAAGCCTGCAGGTACGGCATTGCATGGCCAACCTTGAACGGCATATTATCCGTCCGACTCAGCCCTTCGTCTTGCATCGCTTTCTTGATCTCCTTCACCAACTTCTCCTTGCAATCAGGATGTTTGCAGAGGTTGTACAGCACTGCACCAATGCTGATACCAGTTGTATCACTACCCGCGAAGATGTTACTTGCCGCCATACTGAGTACACCATTGTCATCAAACTCTCCAGGCTTTTGTTCCTTGACGTCCATGAGCGCGCGCAGCAGGTCGCGGTGATCGCTTCCACGGCCCTTGCGCGCCTCACATTCTCGAGCAGCAATCTGACGCAGCGAACCATTGCGGTTGTTCACACCGAGGTAGTTGCCGATATACGGCATGAACAAGTCGTGCAGCCAGTACAGCCAAGGCGTCTGCCCGATCCAAGAAGCTGAGTGCAAGGCTGAGTCGATGGCGGAGAACGAGCCGTCATCTTTGCCTGCAGCTAGGAAGCCAAAGCGCCGTGAGAATGTGACTTCGCCGATGACATCTGGAGGCTATCAGCAATGTCAGGAGCGATTGACAAGCTCCACGTACCAAAAGCAAACATCTGCGCCCACTTCCCCATGTCAATCGCCCCGTCTGTCCGGACTTTTTCAAGCCTATTCAAGAACAGCGTTAAAGTGCTATCAACATACGGCTCCATCTTCTTCAGCTGATCCAAGCTATAGATATTACTAACAAGCCTCCTCTGCCTACCATGGACCTTCTCATCCCTCTCGCCAAACAGATCGAATGTGCGATGCCCCTGCCAAACAGAATACCAATCGCTCTTCCTGAACTTCGAACCCGCGCCATAGATCGTCTTGATGGCCGCGGGATCCGAAATGCTGACTTCATTCGTCGCTGTGCGTACGAGCTTGCCGTGCTTCTTGTGCAGCGCGATCATGCTCGTGTGCATGTCACCTATGTAAGAGCGCTGCACCATCCATAGTCGCGAGAACCGGGCGGACAGAGGGCCGGGGATTTTGCGCAGCGGGTCCACGAGGAATGTGTAGGCAAGGGCTACTGCGCATAAGGCGACGACGAAGGGGATAAGGTTGCCCATGATGTGTTACGGGATTCAGGATTGCATTGGAGTTGAGACCTGGGGAGAGATGAATTATGGTTTTTGTCTACATCCGGGTCCTGGTCAAGCTTCTGGAGATCCCGAATATGAGGAGGGGGCGTCATGAGCTCGGCCGAATTTCGCAACCCCGCATCGTGCTGTCGGCAAATGGAAGCACCCAGGACTGCACTATTTTGCCAGTGGTCTTGAAATGCAAGATACCAGATTTCCGATTATTCTATATCTTCAAAGTAATAAAGCAAATATTGCTGAAGCTATTCCTGCGCTCCGTACCTTCCCCCGACCCCCTGCATCCAATATCGCCCAAATGCTAACGTACCTCACGGGCTCGTGGATCACCCGGGCTCGTGGATCACTTTTGCCAAGCCCCCACCAAAACCACCCCATTCTGGCGCAAAATAGCCCACTTTGGCCCTGTATAGTACAAAGCAAGATGCGATATTATTTAGAGTCTACTTCTACTACCTTCTAGCAGGTATGCGCATTATGCCTAGTCTCTTTGCACTGTGTACACTGTTGTTAAGATAGTTCACCTACTTTAGCGCGCACCCGCCTCTTTAGCTTCTTCCCATCACTACGCGCCCTAAAGTCCTTAAGAGCAGCTAAACAAGCCCTATCCTTAACTGTTAAGGTCCCCTCTGCTTAAACCTGCTTTCTTTTGTGTAATCTACGTCACGTAGCAGCCTTATTTGCTACTTAAAGCTCTATAATCTCCTTTTGCGCCAACACTAGCTTGTGCGTGATAATTACTGCTCCCTTTAAGACCTTCTTAAAAGCCTCTACTATAGACGTTAGTAAGCTATCTACATGCCTCTAAATCCTTGCCTTTATAAGCGTTAATTATAATCCTAATTTAAGGGTATTGCTTAGGGTTTGCAACTACTAGGGCTTATTGCTAGGGAGTAGTAGTGATAGAGTACGTAGCTAGACATTAAGCGCCATTATAACCTATTCTAGGTTAAATAGGACTAATCTAGCGCCTTAAAACCCTCCTTAGATATTACTAGGAGTAATTGCTGCATTATAGGCGCGTATAAAGCATAGTAAGAACTTAAGCTTTGTGATATAGGTAATCTAGTTGCGCATAAGATTCTTAGCTTGGCAGCTATACGCTGTCTTCAAAGGCGAGAAACACCCCACATCAAGAGGCTGCAGGAGGTGTGATGAGTGTGGAGGCATGTAGATAGTGATAATCTTGTTCTCCTTGCAGTATTCCTAGAAAGCGAGCAAGTTATAGCTCTTATAGCTGTTAATTGCGAGTAGTTAGTAGCTGCTAACTACTCTCTTCTTTGTATACTTATTAAAGTGCTTTAACCACTGCAGGCTAAGCTTATTTATTGTCTAGCTGTTCTTAGATACTGCGATAACCTAATTATGAGGTAGATCCCCCTCCTTGTACTAGGCAGAGAGGTAATAGCAGCCCTTAAAGATAATGAAGGGTGGAATAGCCCACCCTGTCGCGTTGATGCCCTAGATAACTGTTGTCTACTCTCTATTGCCTTACTACACTGCCTTTAGCTATCCTTGTCTCTCTAAAGCTGTAACAACTAAACTAGTAGATATCTAGCCTATTATAAAGCTAGCCTTGTTAAAGTTAAA